TTTCATCCAAACCCAACAAGAATGACTGAAATTAGGGTGGAACGTTGCAAAGCCCACAAATTCCTCTTTCTGAACGGCACCTGTTCTGCTACCAATGAGTTTAATAGAAGGAAGCTGATTTAATCCCCCACAATAGTTTAGTTTCCATGTGTTTACCAACAAAATACTTGATGGAGCAAAGTCAGGAAACATCATTAACAAGGTGCTGACGTCAGACAACAACAGTGTCAAGAAAATGGTGAAAACATCCTTTGTTCATTACCAGGCTTATCCTGGAAAAGCAGAAAACACTTGGAAAAAATTCTGTATCACCTTATGCCAAAGTAACAACAGGAACTGCAGTTACTGTGGTACATGAAAATAAGCTTAAGTAATGATTTTACTGCTGTATTTTCCTGTTAAAATTGAAAAGAGAGTGGTGTAAACAAGGAAAAAGAAAAATATCCTCCAACTTAAGATTACACATTCCACTAAGCCAAAAAACCATAAAGTGCATTTCACACTGGTTTTACAACATGGGCAAACACTGCTTTTCCCCTCCACTTGATTTACGTGAGTTCTCAGTTTCACTGGGCACATTCACTTCCAATCTGACTGTTCACTGAAAACCCCCAATACTGAAAATCCCTTAAGTAACGGTCCACAGAGCAGTAAAACAAAACAAAAAAAAGGTTAAAAAAAAGGTTAAAAGTAGAAAAAAAAAAGGTTCAAAGTCAGAAATCCTCTCTGTTTTGCAGAAGGAGGGCAAACTGACTGAGAGAAGAGGGAATGAGTCAACACAGCCAATTCAAAGTTGAAAAATTGATGCACTTGTTACAACTGCAATCAAACCCTGACTTTTTGTGGCTGTGGATGTTCTTCCTCCTCTCTCTGCTGCCTGAAAATGTCATCTGTTTTTAAGTGACAGCAGGAAAAGGAAACCACAAAAACTCAGTGTCACACAAAGCAAGGTTACAAACAGACACCTCATGGGTACCTCAGCATCTCTCTATTATTTAGGCACTTGTAACAGCAACAGCTGGGTACATTTCTTTTAAAATACATTTTGTTTTGTTGGGGTTTTTATACTTGATTTTTATTATTATTTTGGTCCTCTATCTGTAAGATTTTCAACTTCCACTCCATTTAATAAAAAAATACAAACAGCCCTTAGAAAGAGCTGGGAGTGAACAGAGAACACTTTCCACCCATATTCCAAACCTGTGCCTGCAAGCAGCACTGCTGAAGGCATTTTGGCTTAGGGAAATTTACTGTGGAGTTACCAAGCAATCCCATTCCCACCCATGTGCCAGCTTCAAAAAGCTCCTCACGTGGATTCCCACTCCTCCAAAGCCACAGGATCCCCTCGGGTGTGATTTCCAAGGAGATCTCCGAGGAAGGGGCAGTGTGATTCCCAGAGATATCCCAAAGCTCAGCAGCTCTGAGGATGGAGCGTTCCAGGAGTTCCACTGTCCAAGCGAAACAGTGGCTCAAGGAGGGAATTAAGGAGATGGGTTACACAAAAAATCCGTTTCCTTCCAATGGTGAGGAGTTGCAAAAAAACCTCACGTAAGGGAAAAAACACACGTTGAGGGGGAAGAGCAGCTGAAAAGCGTTCAGTCTTTCCCCACAACCACTAAGCCTAAAAACCACCCAAAAAACAAACCCCAGCAAAGACATGCGGGGGAAGAGATACAAACCTGTGAAAGTTAATTTCATCGTGTAACGGGGGGAGGAGATAAAACACGTTTGGAAGAAGGCAAAAAGGCGGCAGCCGTGAGCGGGTCGGAGACAATAATTCGGAGTTTGCCGAGCAGACATCCGGGTGTCTCACCGAGGGTAACGGTCCCCTCACCCCGCGGCTGCCAGGCCGGGGCTCGGAGGGCTCCAGGGGCTGGGGAGGGACTGTGGAGGGGCTGCCATGGGGTTTAGGGGGTCTTAGGGG